TATATATATATATATATATATATATAACACCGGCTTGCGGACGCATGGGGCCAGTGCCACAACAATAATAACAATAGCAATAAGAGGCAAGGGGTTGGGATACAGAACATAAAAAAGACGGAAATGTTAAAATGGAAAATCGCAAATAAATTGGATGACAGTTTTTTGTGTTTCACATTATACTTTTTGAAATTTGTGTTAGCTTTTTTTATGACGCACGGGACTTTAACAGTCAAGCGGTACAGCATTCTCGGCACTGACTACCATTCTGACTCTTGTCTCTCAGCGTCTCTACCTAACGACAATCCTCATCCCCTGGACTCCAACCTGGAAGGTGGGCTGCACCAACGGAATCCAGATCTGAAGCCAGCTTCTTCATACCTCTACAGCGTGTCATGGTCTGATAGCCGCCGCGATCCGCGATTCCAGCTTTGCCCGGTGGGTAGGCATGGGTAGGCATACGCAATACGTGACCAAGCCATCGGAAGCGCTGTAGAGAGAATACTTCTGTTAGAAAACGACTATCCACACCCAACACATGACGACGGACCTCGTCATTGCTCACCCGATGTTCCCACCGGACACGGGCAATGCTTCGGAGACATTGACGTTGGAATACAGAAAGTCGATTAGCATCCTCAACGCTGAAGGGCCAGGTCTTGCAACCGTAAAACAAAAGGCTATGAACCGCGGCTATATACACCGTTCCATTAAGGGCTAGTCGAATGTCATGGCGGCACCATAGGTGTCCTAGGTTGGCGGAAGCTGCTCTAGCTTTCGCTATTCGCGATGTGATCTCCTCCCCAACACCACCACCAACTGCGATCAAGTTCCCAAGGTACTTGAAGCTCTCAACTACATCCAGCTGAGCACCACAGAGGGTGAGTGCAGGCACAGGCTCCTGCCAGTCCTGAAAAAGCACTTGTCACTTGGAAGGTGCAAAGTGCATACCATTCCTGGATACCTCGATCGTTATGCAGTTCAAAGCGCGTTGGATTGCCTGTGTGTTGGCACCCAGCAAAGCGATGCCATCGGCATATTCTAAGTTAAGGAATCTGTTAATTGAGAGGAGTTTGACTCCACCGTTTGCCGGACCGGACAAAGCATTCTGTAGAACATCCTCTGTGACAAGGTTAAAAAGGAATGGGGATATAGGGAACCTTGTCGAACTCCACTCGAGACGGCAAAGGGTGGCGAAAGCTGGCCATAGGCCTTAACTCGACTTGAGGTATGAGGTATGAATATGCAAAGATTCAATTTTCAGGAGGGGAAAAGCGGCCAATCAAAAGGTTGCCACTTAACACGCGATGGGGAAAGTCAGGCGGTGGTGGTATTCGAACACACATCTACGGGGTGATAATTTGGTGATGTTACCGCCGGGCCATCACCGCCCACGTACTTTATTCTCCAAGGATCATTTCTCATTTCTCGGTTTACGTTTTCTCGTCCAGAAATGAGCTCCAAAGTTTGTGAAATAGAACGTGTAGAAATTCGTTTGTTTGACGTCTTGCCGAAGTTTCAGAGCTCAGTTACTCAATCCGGTTTAATTCATCAGTTGGGCATTTTACCATATTTCTCAGTGATTAATACCTCAACTTGGAATGACAGAGGAGAGTTGGTTAAGTAATTAAAATCAAAGAGGTGAACAATGCTTCGGTGCCTTAACAATCTGTTTGCTCAAGCTTGCTACTCCTACCCCCTTACACCTTTGCTTGATTATCATTCCTTTAGAATACAAATGAATTTCTTATACTAGTAACAATCTTTTTTAGGATGGTTGAGAATTCAACTTCAGTCGTTGTAGGCTCAGGACAGATGATTGCCTCCATACTGTTAATTCTTCTTCCGATCTCAGCCTGAACTAGTGATTCTCGTGACATTTTCCACTGGATTTATTCCAGAGCAACATAAAATAATCGTTCTTGGTTCAACTAACTACGTGATGAAGGGAACTTCACTCTTTCTAATCTTTATAAGAAATTATTGTCTGTTTGCAAGACCAATTACTGTATTTGTTTTCTGATTGTGAATATACGTATCATAATTGATTTCTTTGTTCGCCATTACAGCAGCTCCAATGAGAATGGGCGAGACCACTGACGATACGGATATTATACTCACTATAGGTGTGTGTGCTATGGCTAAAAAAGCAATGTCAAAACCGATGAAGGAAATCTTACGAAGAATGGATAAATTCCAACACATCAGACAAATAATCTTCGATGAACACGTTATTCTGAATGAGCCAATAGAGGCCTGGCCAATATGTGATGCTCTTGTGAGCTTCTATTCTGAAGGATTTCCACTGGAGAAGGCAATCGCTTATTCCAAGCTAAGGAAACCATATCTTGTCAATGACTTGGAGTCTCAGTATATTTTAATGGATCGAAGACGTGTTTATGAGTGTCTTCAGCTTGAAGGTGTACCTGTTCCTCGATATGCCTGTGTTTCTCGAAGACCAGGAAGTCCTCCCGTTGAGGTCATTGAAAGTGATGATTCCATTGAAGTAAGTGGTCACATTGATTTATTTGTACCTATCTTAAGCATTATTTTTATTATCCGCACCTTCCGATTTGTTCGCCTAACACTAATGGGCGCAAGTTATTTTACCAAGATATCAGTACTCAACCTGAACCGAGAACGTGTTGACCGAAAGCTTAATTTACTGAATGCTGATGGTGTGAATGCTGTGCATTCGCTTTTGATGGACACCTTCACGACCGTCGGTTTGGATTCAATGTAGCTCAGATAAATGTAAGGTCTGTGAATACATCTACTTCGGATGTGATCAGTTACCAACACGATGGTCATGGTCGCTTTGTTGACATATTTCAGTGTATATCACTGTAATATTAGCCGTACCTTTATTGACTTGTCAAACAGAAATCATATCCACTTAATTAGTGTTTAGATTATGTTTAAATCGACGCTTGCGTAAACCATCCTCATTTCCATATGCTTCGCGATCTGGGAATTTAGCTTGCAGACATTCCATCGTCAATTGGATATCAGTCGTTCTCTTCGGTTAGGTTCAGCGATCTGGTCTACTACTCCTATTATTGTTATCTCAATTCATCATTAAACTTCAACTGTCTTCTTTCATTAACTTTGATTGATTATCTGATCCCTTATCGAATCTATTCTTATACTGCAACATTCATTGCATCTGCATCTATCTGTAATCCGGTTTAATGTATCTGCTCATGGATTTGTCCAAATAATGCTTTCTATCGAAAATGGTCCCTTATCTTTTTTCTTCATGTATCAATGGTCTTAACCTATTCAAATTTTCATTTTTGTCTTCCTTCGGTTGTCTACACAGCCCCACAGAGTACATGGTGAATGGAACACTGGTGAATAAGCTAGTTTTCAGAAATTCACAATCCTACCAGGGGAATATCACATCAGAATTTCGGGGTCACCTCCACCTAGAGATTGGGGTGGTGGTGGCGCAATGGTTTAGTCGCTGTCATCGGGGAGCTTTAGACTCTATGGTCCACGGTTAGAGCCCCGCCACTGCCACCCAACTTTAGTGGTAGGCAGTTCTGCTGCCGTCTGGTTCAATACCACGCCTAACCTATAGGGGCCATTCCAAATCTCGGGGCTTAGGTTACCGGTTTCCACCACTGAACAGCAGGTCCTCGTGCCTATGGGGTTCGCCCCGTCTGCTGTTCATCACACTTAGGTGTGTAATTAAAAATGGAATCCACAATGATCACATTGCTGTTTTTTCGTACACCTGATCCTTGAGATTACTCGAGATATTGAATGTGTGTAAGCCGTGGGAGCTTAAGCGCATGCACATACTGGTTTTAAGTACGAATTCCTACCGCTTTCACTGTGGCAAGCATACCGCAGCGAACCTGCTTTAGCCGCAATCCATGTACAGGAGGCAGAGTGCCTCAGTCATGTTCACAGTGTGACTTTTTCCAGCTGAGTGTGAAAAGATTGCTTGTTGAATGACCTGTGTTCAGTCATACAGGATGGTGTTCATGAACTCGTTCAGACAAACGCCTGATCGTGCGGCTAATGCACGACATACTGCAGGAACTAGTGAATGAGTAAACAGAGCATGACGGCAGAATTTTTCATTTTGTCTTTCAGTCGTAAACATATAGTTAGCTTGAACGTGAACAAAACACAGCTTTGCTGCATAGGTCTTACCAAAAGCATCGTAAAGCCTCCTTTGTATTACCCCTACTGTTCTACCCCCGTTGACCGGAAAAACAATACCGACTTCCTTCTAACCTCGATCTTCCTTGAAATAGTCACACTGTATTAACTCCTCCCCGTGCCCATTGCTTTCAAACATAGATTTCAGGTATTGTGTTTTCCCTACAAATTTCCTTTACCTCCTGTGCTTATTATTATTATTATTATGTTTCACACTTGTCTGAGGATAGACTGTGTACTAGACAAATCATGGTACAATAATCTTTATAAAGAGAAAAACCGTTCCATGATTGGCTTGTGGGCTGAATACTGCCAGGTTGCCCAGGCCAAGGCAGGTGAATTTTCTTGGGGAATTCACAACTGGAGCCTTTGGCTAGCCAAAGCGTGACCCGTGAGGCAGCAGGGCGGTGTGGAAATCGCAATCCATTGGGAGCCGGTGTCCAGTTCATCGGATCATTCGCCCTTCGGGCGGGGTCAAGAGTCCAAGGTGCCCAATACACCTCGATGC